CCCCGAGATCGCGCCATGCGGTGAGCGCTCGCCGAGGCCACCCGCCCAACCCGCCGCCGGGACCTGCCACCCCGCCCGGACCTCCGGGCTGCCGGGACCCCTCGATCGGACCCGATCCCGCGCCCGGACCCGCCGCCCGGACCCGCCGTCACTCAAGGTACGGGCGCCCGCCAAGCTCCCCGAGACCCACCGGCCTGCACCCCACGCCCCGCCCGGATGTGACATTCCGCCCGATCCCCGGGCCTAGCTCCCCGGATCAGATCCGACCCCCTGCCCGGACACGAAACCCCTCCGGGACCCGACCCCTGGCCGTCCCAACCGGCTGCTCAAGGCTCTTGGGCCGGCGGGGCCCCCCGCGCCCACCGTGGCCGGGCCAAGCGGGCAAAGGCCCCTGTCAGATCCCCTCCCTCCCGGGGGCGTTCCCGGGACCCCGCGCCACCGCCTGCTCCCCGGGTGGCCATGCCGCCTCTGCCTGCCCCGCAGCCCCGGCCCAGCCGCAGGGGCGCAGCCTCTTCGTTCTCGCCCCTCGCCCTTTCCCAGCCCCCCGGCGCCCCGCTCCGCAGCCCGGGGCCGAGCGCCTGGTCCCGACGGGTCCATCCCCGCACCGTGCGCTTCCATCGCCCTGCGGCCCCGGGGGAGCCCGAGCCCGGGCCCGGCCCGCCCCAACGCGCCCTTCCCTTCCAGATGCTCCGAGGCTGCGCCCTCCTGCTCGCCGCCCTGCTCCTCGCCGCGGCCCTCCCCACCCCGGCGCTCGGGTCACCGGTAAGTGTCCCTTCGCCGCGAACCGAGGAACCGCGTTAGAACCGGACTGGGAGGGAGGGCAGGAGTTAACACTGCGAGACAGAAAAAAGCATTAATTCCGTCCACCCGGTGGGGTGGGGGGGGCGTGGAAAGGCTTGCGATGGGGGGTGTCCCTGCTGCAGCGGGGCCCCAAGGGAAAGGTGGAGGCCCTGCGAGCAGGCAGGGGCTGAGGGCGAGGATTCTGGACCAGAGGCTCCCCGGATTCTACAGCATCCGCTTCTGCTAGTGTAAACAGCTCCTTGCTATAAACCAGTAAAACTGGAAAGCGCTGTGATTTGGGTTAGCTCCGTAGGTAAGCTAGAAGCAAATCCTATTTCTTCCAGCTCCTTAGAGGAGCAGTTACACCCTGTGGGAAGCAGTGCTATCAACACGTGCTCCTAACATCACTTAAACCAAACGGATGCACTGCCGAGTTTGTGGCTCATGCTCTCAAGTGGGCTATTTAGTAAAGCAAGTGGTCCTATTTTCATGTCAAATATACTTGATCTGGGGCAAATCTGGAATTTCTTACAGCTTCCAAAGGTACATGCATTATCCTAATCTGTATTATGCCTGGAAAGCCTGGTGCAATGGCATGTAATGGTCACGCTTGCCGCGGCAGTTTGCGCCGCGTGGTTTATTCGATGAGAGACAAGCTAAGGGTGTTTGCTGTTTGAAACTCTGCGATCCCTGGAATGCACAGTAACTTCTCAGGGGTGTCTAGGTAGCTCATAGACTCTGCAGCTGCCCTGGGGGCTTGTTTGAGTCACTACCCTGCTTTTCTCCCATTTAAGGTAAAGGAAAAGAGAGGCTGGACCCTGAACAGCGCCGGCTACCTTCTTGGTCCACGTAAGTGACGCCCAGGGCTCAGCCCCCAACACAGGACGTGCGCTGGTTTTGCTAATCCCGCTCTTTACGAACTATGTGCAGCCAGTCATCATTCTGATACTTTATAGTCCAGCCTTAGTCAGATAAAGGGAAGCAGGGAGCAGGTGGCGCGCTTCCAGGAGACTTTGAGGCCAAATGGGTCTGGATTTCTGGAACAGCCTGTTGATTGAAATACTGGCCACGTCCCTAGGGGGCGCTCTTTCGCATTCCCCGAAAGGGCCCAGACCTCTAGCACCCTTCATTCTTTTTCCTCCTTCGCCTTCTCGCTCCTCCTGTGCAGCAGATGGGCTCATTCCTGTGCGGGCTCCTGACCCTGTCTACCCCCCCAACCTGGGGCCCCTCACTCTCTCTTGCGCCCTTGACTCCTGTCCTTGACCTGCAGGGGCCCTTGAACCCTCGCCACCACCTGCTCTCCCAAACCTCTGAGAGTGCACTGTGGACTCCTTCCACCCCACCCCTCCCGGCTGAAACCTCTCCTGGGGTCACCCGTGACCTCTGTGTTGACTGCTTGCCCATGTGACCTGAGTACCTGTTCCTTCCGGAAGCCTCTGCTTCCTCGGCTCTCCTGGCCTGTGTCTCCGAGGGACCCCTACACCCCGGCCTTGCCGGGGCTCCCCTGTGAACTCGAAGGCAGGTGTTCCTCGGGCCCCTCTGCGCCTCCTTGAGCACCCTCACCCACTCCTTGGCTTCACAGAGTACCCACAGCTCTATTCACCTTAAGTCCTATGTCCACCCCCGTTTCTCTAAGCTCCACGTGGGAATTTCCAAGCGACCCGAGGGTAGCCCGAACAGGCTCAGCCCAGAACTAAACTGAGCTGGTTCTCTTGCTCCGAACTGCACCGCCCACCCCCGGCCCCGTTGTTTCCACAGGACCTGAGGGGTCTGGGTTCAGTACCTCCCCTCCCCCTGCTCTTTGAGGAGAGTCTGCGTCTTAGGGGTCTTATAGCTTTGGCACCACGTATAGCAAAACCCCAAACCGAACCCGCTGCCATCAAGTCGATTCCAACTCATAGCGACCCTGTAGGACAGAGTAGAACTGCTCCATGGGGTTTCTGAGGAGCGGCTGGTGGATTCGAACTGCTGACCTTTGGGTTAGCAGCCGAGCTCTTAACCACTGCGCCACCAGGTGCAGAGCGGGATTTAAAACTGCTTCAACAGACTAAAACGCCCGAGGCGGGAGGGGAGAGGAAAAGAAAAGAAGCAGGCGCATTAACTAGTTCGTGTCCATAACGTCGGTTGGTGGGTCAGTGACCTAAACCTGTGAGGTCTCGCTGGGTGTGACTGAGCCTCCCACAGGGGCTGTGGGCAGGTGGGCTTCCTCCCGTCCCCACGGTCCCCAGGGAGAGGCTGGAGGTGCCCAAGGCCCTGGGTAGAAGTGACTCAGCTATCCGAGTCCTGATGTTTCCACAGAGACCTCAGGAAGGTCTAGCCGTGTCCAGCACCGGCTCCATCTGCAACTTTGATAACAGCAACCTTCGTCCTTAGCACTTTCTCTGCTTTGAAAGCTCGAGTTCGAGGACACCTTAATCCAGGTTTCAGGGCGTCCTGCGCCCTGGCTTGAGGCTGCAAAGTCACCACTTTCCTAGAGTGACATGTTGGCGGGACAGGCTGGGGAGGAAGCTCAGCGGATCCAGCAGACACAACTTCTCGAGACCCCCCATAAATGACAAGGGAGTGCATTTGCGCCCATCAATCCTGACACCTCCCCCCGCCGCCCCGGTGGACTGGTCCTCGGCGCCTCATCTTGTACTTGATGTACTTGGACACAGTATGGGGATTTTTTATTTCACTGACGCGGCTTCATGTTGCAGAAAACCCAATGATGCTAGCACTGCTGGGGACGTTAGCGACCCCCCAGCTCCATCACCACGTTGACCGGCAGGCACGGCCGAGTCCCAGGGTCTAAGGGGTTTGCTCACTGCCGCCTGATTCATAAGTCGGTGTAGGAGGCGGCAGAAAGACGGGAAGACGGTGCATAGAGACAGCCATGACTGTGGGGGTGCCCGAGCCCCCAAGTGTCATCAGCTCTGGGGGCACTGTGGCTGCCCCTCTCCCCGCCCCCTTCCTGCGTGTCCTCCTTCTACACTAAAGTGCTGCCTTCGATTTTAACTGAAGTATGGGGGAGAGGGGTTGAGGGGGACCTTGGCTCCCCGCTTTAAATTCACTTTCTCCTCCAATCTGACCTCCAAGGCTTTCAAAGTTGCAGCTTGGGGACAGCCAATGACCCTTAAAAATTGCCCCAGTTTCCTGCCTCTGCCACCATGAAGGAGGCCGACAGGGCTCCTCCTACGCCCATCTCGGCAGACAGATGGGGAGTTTCATTTGCAATCACAAAAGTTAAATGCAAGCTTCATCCGATTGCAGAGGTTTCTTTCTCTGGATCCCCTGGCGGCTCCTTGAGGAGGAGGCTGTCAGACACACAGACACAGAGTGACCAAACTAGAAGTGCGGCACCTGCAGTGTCTACCTGGGGCCCTTGGTCTCAAGTCAGCAGCAGGGGCAGGTCTCCCTGGGGGGTCTTTTCACCCAGAGCGGAGGGGCCTCGCCTGCCCCCGAGAGGCAATCTGGAACAAAGGGCATGGGTCTTCTTGAACCTTCTGTGACAAGTTCGAGTACTCAGAAACGCCCTCTTTTGGGGTGTTACTGGCCCCAAAGAAAGGAGAAACTCTTCAACAAAAACATTCATCCATGTTACTTTGGGGTATTGAAAACATATCTATCAAGAAGGTCTTGAATCTTGACTTAGGAAATGAGCTCTTTCGCTATCAAGTTTATGCCTCTGTCCTGTTGATTTGTCAGAAGCTTTACACCTAGGCTAGCTGTTTGCCCATAGACTTTATAACTTTATCTTACGGCCTTGGCTCGTATTGGCAGCGTAGGAAACAGTGCCGTAAAGAATGTTCTTGCAACGTCTGCTCTGAAGACAGTGTATGATTACTTTCAATATTGAGTCTGGAAGGATCAGGTTATTTGTATTCCTGTTTAGATTTAGCGCCAAGCACTCTGTCTCTGGGAGGATCAATTAGTTATCTTTTGTCTAGCCTTGGAGACGACACCGCAGTCCACCCAGCCTGAGCAGTGAGCACCACGGGGCTGTTTGTGCCCTCGCCCCGTCCCTTCTTCTCTTCTGGCTGCTGAAGACCCTGGTCCAGCCCCTTCTCCAGTCCAGGCCACTGGGCTCAGCCCCCTCACTGTTTCTTCCCTGGGCCCTGTGATCATTTTTTAAGGGAACTCTCTGCTTGTAGTCTCGATTCTCCTCTCTCACACCACCCAATGCACATTCACGCATGCACACACATGCGCACCGGAACAACACACGTGTGCAAGGCACATGTACGTGTGCACACACGCATACGCGCACACTCATCTTCTCCTGGCCCCAGCCCAACTCCTACACAGCTGCCAGAGGGGTCTTTGAAAATTAAAAATCTGCTGACATCAGAACCTCAGATTCGTCAGTGGCCCCTTGTTTTCGAGCACATAAGGACCCCAGCCCTGTCGTCTGCTGGGAGACTTGCTCGTGCCTGACCCTGAGCCCCTCCTGGCCTGGCTCTCATGCCCGGCCTCCCTCTCTCCTAGAGCTGTGTGTTTCCCTGTCTCCCCTTCCCAGCTGGGTGCACTTCTTCTTTCTAGACCACAGCTGTGTGGGAACTGTCACGTTTCCCTCGGCCCTGGCCCAGGCAGTCAGCTCTCACCTTCTCTGTCTTTGTGGGCTCCAGACATTCTCCAGGGCCGTGGGCATTTGCTTTGTAAACTGCCAGCCATCCCTTTTGGAAGTGAGAGGCAGGGGCGGATTACCCAATAAGCAAGGTAAGCATGGGCTTACTTGTGCTTACTCACTAATCTGTCGTGCAGAGTTTCACAGGTGGTGGAGGCAGGTGAAATTGTGCAGTACAGATTAGTAAGTAGCACAGATGAGCTGGTGCTTGCCTCTTATTGGGTAAGCCAGCCCTGGTGAGAGGTATAAATGATGTAACGTTGCAGTAACGAGTCTCTCCCGGACTTGTGAACAGATGCCGTGGACAACCACAGGTCCCTCCATGAGAAGCACGGCCTGGCGGGCAAGCGTGAGCTGCAGCTGGACGATGAGGTCAAGCCAGGTGAGGGGCTGCACCCAGGGGCTTCCAGGGGCTTCTCTCTCCATTCCCCTCTGGTGCAGGGGGCAGTGGTGGTCCAGCCTGAGCTGACCCTGCATGGATGTGACCAAGACGTGGCGGTTTCCCCCATTGCCCTCACCCAGCAGGCCTTTGGTCATGGGCAGCCGTCCACAAAGATGGCAAGGGGTCCCTTCCAGGCCTGTAGGCTGGCCCACCACGCGGTGCCTGAGAAGAGGTGGGCCTTCCTTCGCCATGTCCCTCCTGCCACACCCAGCAGGGCCCCTGGGAGAGTCACAGCTCCCTTCTCGGGGACCAGTTCTTCAGCCTCGAAGTCCCCAGCGTCCACTGTGTAAGGGGTGACATCATAGGCACAGATGCACCTGTTACGGGAAGTTGAAGGTGTGGACCTCTTCTCTTTCCCAGGAAGCTATGATAGGCTGCTCCCTGAGAACAGTGTGGCGCGCACCATCGTCGAGTTTCTGACTTTCTTGCAGCTCAAAGGTACGTGAGAGCGTCCCAATTTACACTTCATCGCGTGGCACACTGGGCATGAACGTTTCCATCAAGAAAGGATGCCGTAGAATTCTGCTGGGAACTCACCAAGTTGTCCACCTGAGCCCCTAACGCCCCGCGCTGCTGGTTAGGATGGCGAGGCACGGGCACCCTGGACTAGCTGCAGAGGGGCTGGCGTTTCTGAGGGCCGGGATGCTGTCTCCGCAAAAAGCCGTCAGCCCACCATTAGCAGGAAGAGAAGACGGGTCTGTCAGGCACAATTCACGCTAACCCGCTGCCGTCGAGTCAGTTCCGACTCATAGCGACCCCATAGGACAGGGTAGAACTGCCCTGTAGGGTTTCCTAGGCGGTAATCTTTATGGATGCAGACTGCCACATTTTTCTCCTGTGGAGCCACTGGTGAGTTCGAACCACTGACCGTTAGGTTAGTAGCTAAGCGCTTAACCATCGTGCCACCAGAGCTCCTGTTTTGGTCAGTGTTGTTTGAGCCGTTGGGTGGGTTTGAACTGCTGACCTTTTGATTAGCAGCCAAGCACTTACCCACTGCACCACCAGGGCTTCGTTGATAAATTCACGGGCGCCCTTATTTCAGATTGGGTGTTTCTCTATGCACTTCCTCCTGCCGCAGGCTGCCTTGACCTCTAACTGGGAAGATTCCGGAAAGATCCCAGCACCACCTCCCGTGGAGATGCAGATGATAAGGACCCCTTGGGGCCCATTTTTTACTGCGGCCCTTCCATGAATCGCGCTTGTCACTTGCTGGGCAGTCGGGTCTGGTGTGGGAGATGCTCATTAGTCAAATCATCACACAGGTCAACATTGCAGCTGTGGAAGGACGGGGCCAGGGAGACAGCACAGAGCCCTCGGAGAGTTAGCCATCGGGGTGCGCCCCGGGACCGCTGGGGTGGGCAGCTTTTTCTCTCCAGTGGAGGCATTTTGTTGTCAAAATTTGCACGTCATGATTTTGCCATTGAGTTTGAAAAATCCAAGGCCAATTGTTGGGTTTTTTGTGACCTGGTTGTTTTTGTTGGCAGGGTTCAACCCCACTGCCCTGCTCAGAGGACTTCAGGGGATGGGTCCGGAGAGAAGTAGGCGGAGAGATTTAGGGCCTGATCCTCATTCCTTAGAGCCACGGGCGGGGAGACTGTGGGAGACGGAGTTGGAAACAATGGTGTCTGTTAGAAATCCCAAACAGAAGAGCAAAGCCTCTCTGCTTGAGTCCAGTGGGGCTTTTGAAGAAATTCCTGCCAGAGAAAAGCTAGCGGATAGTGACTTTTCCAGAAAGGGGCAGATCAACTCTGCTGGTGGTTATTTTATTTTGGGAAGGGGTTGGCTAGGGGGTGATTGGAGCCCTGGTGGCGCAGTGGTTAGGAGCTCGGCTGCTAACCAAAAGGTCAGCAGTTTGAATCCACCAGCTGCTCCTTGGAGACCCTACGGGGCAGTTCTACTCTGTCCTGTAGGGTCACTATGAGTCGGAATCAAATCGATGGCAATGGGTTTTAGAGGGTGGTTAAAGAGCCCTGGTGGTGCAATGGTTAAGTGCTCGGCTGCTAAGCGAAAGGTCAGTGGTTTGAGCCCACTCAGTGGCTCTGAAGGAGAAAGACCTGGAGATCTGCTCCTGTAAAGACTACAGCCTCGGAAACCCTACGGGGCAGTTCTACTCTGTGTATAGGGCTGCTCTGAGGAGGAACTGACTCGACAGCACCTAACAGCAGCGGCTGGTTTGGTTTGGTTTGAATTTTGTTAACATGGAAATGTCTTCATTAACCCAAAACCAAATCCTCTGCTGCTGAGTTGATTCTGACTCATTGCGACCTTACAGGACAGAGCAGAGCTTCCCCACTGGGTCTCCAAGGAGTGGCTTGTGGATTCTAACTGCTGACCTTTTGGTTTGCAGCCGAGCGCTTAACCACTGCGCCCCCAGGGCTCCTTATGTCTTCTTTGGGAGGAGCTACCAATTTTTATCACTAAAACAGGAATTCTACTTCTTTAAAGCATAAATGTAGAAGTCTGACAGTTGAAAGTGAAGTCGTTACGAAGGGAGAAATACCAAGTTTTGTACATAAATTTGGATTTCATCCTGGAGGAATCTCTATGGAAATGACCACACACGACATGTGACGTGGCTCCCTGTGATATGTGACATGCAGGATGGCAGGTAATTCTCTTCTGTGTGGTTTTTCCCTCTGCAGAGGCCGGGGCCCTCGAGGGCCTGCCCTCGGCCCTCTCGTTGGAAGACACGGAGCAGACCTGAGACGCAGCTTGGCCTGGGCGAGTGGCTGTGATGGCCGGAAGCCGGCCTTTGCCACGGGCCAACACAGTCCAGTTTACACGCAGCACACACTCCTGCCCTCTCTGCTTTGATGCTGCGTTGTTACAATGTCAGGTTTCGTCTCTGATAATTACTTTGAGCTGCAAAATAAAAAAGAGCAACTGCTTGCAATGGTCTGGTTCTTCCTCTCTTACACTTCTGTCTTGTGACGGCTGCCACCGATGTGTTTGAAAAGATAAAGCATAATTATAATCGTTTTAAAGCCAAGTTCTGCCATCTGGATTGTTTCAGACACGGCCCCTTGTCGCTGCCTGTCCAGGGAAGATAAAGTTGTCTTATTAGTAAGCGTGCTCGGACAGAATTAGGGTGCTCTTCGGGCTGGGCTTTCGTTTGCTGTCTGTGCTGTTCTCATTTGTTCTTGTGGACAGTTGATTAAATACTCGAGGCAGTGTTTACCTGCAGAGGTAAACAGAATAAACAGTTCAGCTGTTTTATGGGTCAGGAGACACTTGCAATGTGCTGCTGTGTGAAAGATAGCACGTGGGGCTGGAGCTGCTGAAATGACGGCGGGGAGGGTCTTTAGAGCAGAAATAAAAAGATCCTACAAGAAGAGGCTTGCATGCATGCACACAAAAAGAAAACAGGTGGCTATGCAAAGCCTTCTCTCTGTCAAGTTCAATGGTGACACGCGGCTGTGTAATTTTTCACCGAAGCAAATTCTTCGAGGGACCCGTATACCCACCACCACCGCACCAGCTGCCGTGGAGCAGTCAACCCTGCCTCGTGGAGACCCGATGCGCGTCAGGGTAGAACTGGGCCCCGTCAGGTTTTCAGTAGCTAGTTTTTCAGAAGTAGATTGCCAGGCCTTTCTTCCGAGGTACTCTGGGTGGACTTGAACCTCCGGGTTTCCGTTTGCTGCCCCGCATGTGAACCGTGTATATCTTCCCCTACTGTCTCCCCTCCACAGCAGGGGTGCTCCGCCCTGGCTTCGGATCAGCCTTTTGGTGGGGAGGGTTCGCAAAAGCCCAGCGCCCCGGCCCCGCAGTTTCCTGAAGGTCCCAGATTACTGGACGGGCAGCCAAGCTTGCGAGTCGCCACCTAAGACCTGCCTTGAGGAAGAAGCAGGAACCGCGTTGAATCACCCAAGACTTGTTGGTTCAAAGCAAACCACAGGACACGCAGCTGTTGCTTCCGTCCCTCACCTGTGGGCAACTCCGTCCCCCTCCCCTGTGAGATCCTTTGTGGGACCAGACCCCTTCTCTGCTTACTGCCTCCTTCTGCTTTAACATGGGTCCTGTGGCCCCCTCGGGGCCCCCTCTCCTCCATGCTCCTCCTGGGGACTCGGTTCTCCCAGCCCCAGGCCCGTGTAGTCAGTCCCCTAGCTTGGTGCTGGTGACATATCCTCCCGACGGGCCCGAGCACCTGCCTGGTCCTCCGCTCCCTCCCCTGGCCATCCTCCTGTATCCTCTGTGATGTTTCTGTAACTCTGGGCTCTCGGACTTGGGCAGCACCACAATCCCGGGAGGACTGACCCCACAGCACCGGGATGGGGCTGAGATCTGCACTTCTGACAAGTTCCCTGCGCTGCTGCTGCTGCTGCGGGTCATCCACCCAGCCATCCCCACAGCCCACCCTCCTGCCCCGTCCCCTCCTAGCCTCACCCCTTTCATCCTGCGGCCGTGAACACCCCCACCCCGGCTAGCCTGCCTCGCCAGCCCCTCTGCTCAGCTCTCTGGCAGCGCCAGCAGCTGCAGCTCCTGCACGACTTCCGTCACCTGAGGCCTTTGCACACGTCTCTCCCCGTGCCTGGTAAACTCCTACACATCCACTGGAGTCCACTCTGGGGTCACCTTCTCAAGGCGCTCCTTGCTCACCCTTGCCCAGCGCATGTGGGTGCCACCTCAGTCAGATGCTTATGCTTTCTTCTCCGTTTGCTGATGGGGCCCCTCACTGCACTGGGGCTCCTCAGGGACACGCGGTGCTTTGTGTGTGGATGTCCAGCACAGTGTCCCAGCACGGAGGAGGGACCGCCAGGGCAGCCCAGCCTCAGGAGACCCCAGGAGGCCGCGCACAGCTGTCCCCTGGCTTTCCCCTCCCCATTGTCTCCCTGTTTAGCAGTTGAAGTAAGAGTTGTTAACAGTCTGGTGCACTTCCAAACATATGTAGGGGAAATACTGAAGCAAAGCTCAAGACCCATTGATGAAAAAAAAAAAAAAAAACCCTCTCAGAAAAATAAGAATGGGGAGACCTTTCCCAACTTAATAGAGAACATCTACAAAAAAACCTACAGCTAGGATGATGTCATGCCTGGTAAGGTAGAGGGTCAGCGAAAGAGAGGAAGACCCCTGACGAGATGGATTGACCACAGTGGCTGCAACAATGGGCTCAAACATAACGACCGTGCGGACGGCGCAGGACCGGGCAGTGTCGTTCTGTTGTACACAGGGTCACTAGGAGTCGGAACCGACTCGACGGCACCTAACAACAACAATGGCATGCTATCTGATGGTGAAACACGGAATGCTTTCCTGCTAAGATCGGGAACAGGGCAGGGATGTCTGCTCTCGCCACTCTCATCCAAAATAGTGCTGGAAGTTCTAGCCAGTGCAATAAGAAAAGGAAATAAAAGTCATACAGACCAGAAAGGAAGAAACAAAACCGTCCCTATTTGCAGATGGCATAATTCCCAAAAATCTACCAAAAAACTCCTAGAACTAATAAGTGAGTTCAGCAAGGTCTTAGGATACGAAGGAAACATACAAGAGTTGATTGTATTTCTATATACTAGCAATAAACACATGGACACTGAGTAAAAAATACAATACCATTTACAATCATTCAAAAAAATTACTTAACTATAAATATAGAAAAACATGTACAGAACTTGTATGCCAAAAACTGAACAATGTTGATTAAAGAAACCAAAGAAGATCTAAATAAATGGAGAGGCAAAATGTCTGTCAGCTTGGCTAGGCCATGATTCCCAGATTGTGTGGTTGTCCACCATTTTGTGATCTGATTTGGTTATCCTATGTGTAGTAAATCCTAACCTCTATGATGTTAATGAGGCAGGATTAGAGGCAGTTATGTTAATGAGGCAGGACTCAATCTACAGGATTACGTTGTGTCTTGAGTTAATCTATTCTGAGATATAAAAGAGAGAAGCAAGTAGAGAGGAAAGGAACCTCATGCCACCAAGAAAGAAGAGCCAGGAGCAGAGCTTGTCCTTTGGACCTGGGGTCCGTGCGCTGAGAAGCTCCTAGACCAGTGGAAGATTGATGACAATGACCTTTCCCCAGAGAAGACAGAGAGAAAAAGCCTTCTCCTGGAGCTGGCGCCCTGAATTTGGACTTCTAGCCTCCTAGACTGGGAGAGAATGAATTTCTGTTTGTTAAAGCCATCCACTTGTGGGATTTCTGTTAGAGCAGCAGATCACTAAGACACCGTGTTCATGAGCTGGAAGACTCAACGTAGTTGTTGTTGTCGTTAGTTGCTATCGAGTAGATTTTGACTCATGGCGACCCGTGTACGCAGAGTAGAACTGTTCTATAGGGTTTTCAAGGCCATGACCTTTTCTTCTGAGGCACCTCTGGGTGGGTTCAAACCACCAGCCTTGCAGCTAGTGTTTGAGTGCTTAACCATTTGCGCCACCCAGGGACTCCCTCAACAAACCGAAGATGTGGATTCTCTCCAAACTGACGTGCAAGTTTAATGTAATCCCTTTCAAGTCCCAGCAATAGATTTTGAAGACATAGACAAGATTATTCTAAAATTTATATAGAAAGGCAAAAGAAATAGAATAGCTAAAACAATTTTGAAAAATCAGTGAAGTGGGAGGAATCAGTCTACTAGATTTCAAAACTTATTAGTTTCAGTAATTGAGACTGTGTGGTATTGGCACAGATCAATAGCACAGACTAGAGAACCCGTAAGTCCAAACCAAACCTGTGGCTGTCACGTTGTCTCTGATTCATAGAGACCCTATAGGACAGAATAGAACTGACCCATAGGGTTTCCAAGGCTGTAATCTTTACGGAAACCAACTGTCATATCTTTCTCCCATGGAGGGGCTGGTGGGTCCAAACCATTGACCTTCGTGTTAGCAGCTTAACCACTGGGCCACTAGGGCTCCTTAACCCATAAGTAGACCCACATAAATATGCCAAAATGAAGTTTGACAGAGGTTCAAAAGCAGTTCAACGAAAGAAGGATAGTCTTTTCAGCAAATGGTTCTGGAGCAATTGGACATCAATAGGCAAAAAAGTGGCCTCATTTTATACAAAAATTAACTCCAGATGGATCATAGACTGTCTCGGTTCTCTAGTGCTGCTATAACAGAAGTACTGCAAGCGGATGGCTTTAACAAAGAGAAACGTATTATCTCACAGTTTAGGAGTCTAGAAGTCCAAATTCAGGGTGCCAGCTCCAGGGGAAGGCTTTCTGTCTCTGTTGGCTCTGTGGGAACTCCTTGTCATCAATCTTCCACTGGTCTAGGAGCTTCTTAGCACAGGGACCCGGGGGCCAAAGGACGCGCTCCACTCCAGGTTCTTCTTTCTTGGTGATAGGAGGTCCCCTGGTCTCTCTGCTTGATTCTTTCTTTTATATCTCAAAAGAGAATGACTCAAGATACAACCTAATCCTGTAGATTGAGTCCTGCCTCATTAACATAACTGCCTCTAATCCTGCCTCATTAACATCATAGAGGTAGGATTTACAACACACAGAAAAATCAGATCACAAAATGGTGGACCATCACACAGTACTGGGACTCATGTCCTAGCCAAGTTGACACACATTTTTGGGGGACACAATTCAATCCATAACATAAACTTACTTGTAAAAGTTCAAATCATGAAATTTTTAGAAAAAACATTGGAGAAAATTGTTGGTATCTAGGGCTGGGCAAGGAGTTCTCAGACTTGACACCCAAAGCGTGATCCATTAAAGGGAAAATTGACAATTAGACTTCATCAAAATGAAAAACATTTGCTCTGAGAAACACCCTGTTAAGGGGACAAAAAGACTAGCTTTGTCTGGGAAAAAAAATATTCACAGACCACATATCTGATAAAGGACTAGAATATATAGAGAACTCAAAATTCACACTAAAAAAAAAACCCAGTTAGAAAATGGGTAAAAGACATGAACAGGCATTTCACTGAAGAGGATATACAAACGGCAAATAAGCACGTGGAAAGATGTTCAACATCATTGGCCATTAGCGGAATGCAAATGAGAACCACAATGAGATGACACTACATACCTACTTGAACGGCTGAAATAACAAAGGGAGACCACATCAAACGCTGGCGAGGAGGCCGAGGAGCTGGATGGCTCACTCGTACTGGCGGGAAGGTACAATGCACAGCCACTGGGGAAACAGTTCAGGAGCTTTCTTAAAAACGAAACATTCACCTACCCTTCAACTAACCCAGTAATTACGTTCTGGGCATTTATTCCAAAGAAATGAAAATTTATGTTCATAGAGAAACCTGTACACAAATGTTGATAGCAGCTTCATTCATAATAACGAGAAACTAGAAATACCCCAGATGTCCTTCACTGGGATTGGAGATAAACTGTGGTACATCGGTACCATGGATGGTTGTCTTTGGGCGCTGTAGAGTCCATTTCCACTTATAGCAACCCCACGGGACAGTAGAACTGCCTGCCCCATAGGGTTTCCTAGGGTATAATCTTCATGAGAGCAGATCGCCAGATCTTTTCTCCTATGGAGCAGCTGGTGAGTTCAAACCGCTAATCTTTTGGTTAGCAGCCAAGCACTTAACCACTGTGCCGCCAGGGCTCTTTCCGGGGCACCTTACTGCTCAGTAATACGGAGGAATGAACCCTTGATGCCCCCAGCAACTTCAGTGAACCTTTGGGGAATCATGCTGAGTGAAAAAAATCCAATCCCAGAAGGTTAGATACTATATGGTTCCATTTATATAACATTCTTGAAACGACAAAATCATGGAAGTGGAGAACGGATTAGTGGTTGCCAGGAGTTAGATGGGGGCTGGTGAGTGGGGAGTGGGTGTGGCGACAGGAGGGACCTTGGGGTGATGGAACGCTCTGTGTCTTGACTGTGTCCGCGTCAACGTCGTGGTTGTGACATTGTGCTCAGCTTTGCAAGATGCCACCACTGGGAGAAACTGGGGGAAGGGGTCACCAGATCTCTCTGTGTTATTTCTCACAAGGGCATGTGAATCTACACTTACCTCAGAACACAAAGCTTAACTGAAAAAAAAAAAAAAAGCAAAATTAAACATATTTTAGGGAATGGCCAGAAAAAGAAAAAAAAAAAAAAGATTGCTGTTGTAGTCTCTGACTTCATGATACTGCAACAGTATTTTAATTATCTGCCGATTTCCAAAAAGGATAGGAAATGGTTTTATAGCAAAAGATGCATATGATAACCCCCAAACCCATTGCCATCAAGTCGATTCCGACTCGTAATGACCCTAAAGGACAGAGCAGGATTGCCCCATAGGGTTTTCTAGGCTGTCATCTTTATGGAGACAGATCGCCTTGTCCTTCTCCCGAGGATCTGCTGGGTCAGTTCGAACCTCCGACCTCTTGGTTAGCCACCAGGCACTTAACCACTGCGCTACCAGGGCTCCTTCTGCATACAATAACCAAAAAAGCCAAACCTGTTGCCATCGAGTCGTTTCCAACTCAGAGCAACCCTATAGGGAAGAGTAGAACTGCCCCATAGGGTTTCCAAGGAGCAGCTGGTGGATTCGAACTACTGACCTTTTGGAGAGCAGCCTAGCTCTTAACTACTGTGCCACCAGGGCTCCAACAGGACAAATACAATCCAAATTAAAAAAAAAAAAAAATCAAAGAGATATGGAGAAAAGAGGGGGACCGTTATTCCCAAACCTGGGCTAATGTAGTTTCTGGTATGGAACAGAACGTTTGGTTCCAAGTGTCCTGACAGTCAAGGCAAAAACAAAACAAAACAAAAACTCAAGCCTTGGGTGTTTGTCAGCTTTATTGCTGCAAAGGGAAGTATACCATTTTTAGGGGATCCAAACTTTTCCCTGATAACCAATTCTTATTACGTAAAGAACATTGACATGATCCCCGTCTCCAATTATAATTTTATAGAAGCTACAAAACCACATGACATTTTCTATCATCAACCATGTTTAAAAAACGTGGAAAATTACGCACTGTCCTTTGGCGACGGCGTTTCTATGGGGACGAGGTCTCTGAGGGTCAGGTGTGTAGCTGGTGATTTCAAAAATTCTGACAAGCTAATTTCAGTGAAATTAAGGAGCCTACATTGGAGTCTGCTTCCTTTCTTCATCTTAAGCAAACTCTACTTTTTATAATAATCATAATTATGAATAGCATTTTATACTACAGAAATGTTCTAATTTAAAAAATGAGATGTGCCATTTTTTTGAGATGCCCTCTATTTACTACTTTTGTGGTATTTAATGGAAATGGAATTAGACATAGAAAAACGAGAACTGGATGTGTTGGAACTTCGTGATCAGATGGGTTGGGAGGTTGCATGTGTTCTACAGATAAAGCAGTTCAGAAGTTGCAAGTAGGGTTTTCTGAGCTGTTACTAAGTGTGGCTCTGGGCCCGCCGAGCATAGTCCTTGACTCCTCCTCGGTGCCCTGCAGGAATGGGGCCCCGGAGGGCCCTAACTCTATTAGTTGTACCAAATGGTATGAGAAGCAAGTTTTTACGCAACGTTGGGAGGCCCTGGTGGCTCAAACAGTTAAGCTGTTGACTGCTAACTGAAAGGTTGGTGCTTCAAACCACCCAGAGGTGTCTCAGAAGAATGGCCTGGTGATCTGCTTCCGACAGATCACAGCCTTGAAAACCCTATGGAGCACAGTTCGCTCTGACACACAGGGGGTCACCATGAGCCAGAGGTGACTCCACGGCGACTGGTTTACCCAGCGTCGCCCTCCATTGCTGGTGATCATTTCACCGGCACAGTGTCAACAGAGGGTGCGAAGGGAGCAGTCTGGGCGCCGTCCAGCTAGAACCGTGAGACGAGACAAACAGCAACTAGCTAACCTGACCGTCCGACTGACCTACAAGTTACGGCCCACGTTTTAATAATAAAATCCTGTACTTGCAATTAAAGTCAATATTGTAGTTTTCTGCTTAATCAAAATACCTGCAGCTCTAATTTTTTCTCTCCTAAGAAATAAAATCATGGGGGTCAAATAACGCCATCACTCTAGGTATGAAAACAAACCCCGCTCAAACCAAAAGTGCTCAGTCTTCACTCCCGAGGCAGAGCTCTAAACCCCCACACCCGGCGCCCAGTCCCGGCGCTGACGGGGGATGGGACACTGCAGCCAGACAGCCGGTGACCTTCCGCCCTCTGCTGCAGCCCTCCGGCCTCAGGGCTCAGGTGCGGATGCTGTGGGGAAAGAGCACTTCTTTTTCCCTCTTTGGTTCCCCGTGGGACCCAGGCTGCTCCACATACAGCTCTCCAGAATGCCACCTGCCCCTCGGTCCCCTGTGGGCCCCTGCACTGGCCTGTCAGCACACGCGTTTCAGGAGCATCCTCCAAGCGGCCAGCACAGTCAGTGCGGACAGAAACGCGAAGGACAGCGCTTCAGTGCATTTCAGGGAGGGTATCCGTAAGCCAATGGCGTCCCGGCGGCACTGTGGTTAAAGCGCTCGGCTGCTAACCAAAAGATCGGCAGCTGGAACCCACCAGCCGCTCCGTGGACAAAGCTGTGGCAGTCTGTTTCCGTAAAGATTCCAGCCACGGAAACCCTATAGGGCGGTTCTGCTCTGTCCTGCAGGGTCATTATGAGTCACAGTTGACTTGACAGCAACAGGTTCGGTCTGGTTTTTGGCTTCTCCATAGACGCATGTATTTTCATTTACTAAGTAAATTACCACCACTAAAGGCATTCAAAATTTTTATTCATCTTTGCTTTTGCAATAGAATCGAAAGTCAGTCCACTTAATAACCACTCTCATCTGCTGGTCTCTATGAACTATTTTACAAACAATAATAATATGTAACAATTATTATGGAGAAGGTAATTGGATTCTAGATCCTTTCCACAATCAAATAGAAACACTTAACAAACTAGATTTCTAAGCCCCACAGCTCAGCTCAGTGCGGTGGGAGCCTGGCGGCTGAGCTCGCTCCAGGGGCTGTGGGAGACCCCGGTCCCTTGTTTTACTCGGGGCGGTGCCCACGGTGCAGAAATTCTCTGGGGCATTCAGGAACTCTCTGGAGAGTTTAAGCTGTATCATAATGGCCCATTCGGAGACTCTGTTTCTAAATAATTTGACAAAATGAAACCCGGGAGGATTCCGCGCAGGCAGCCTCTGGAGGAAGGGTCCCTGGAGAGGAGGAAGTCTATGGGAATAGACTCATTCTCTCCAGGCCTGTCCTCCAGCCGCGCTTCATCCTTTAGGGGGCACCCGAGTAACCTCGCTGACACAGAGGGGAAGCTGATCTTAGCAATCTGGTTGCCGACGCAGACCTGGCCCCGCACTTCTCACTCAACCTTTCCAAGCTACAGATTTCAGTCAGAACAGAGACAAAACCTACATGCCTTCTTTCTATGCTGTACTCTACTCAATTTTCAGCCCTTTGGACTTGAACTCGATGTGGAGAATCTGTGACAGGCACCTCCCAAACTCCTCCAGGATCCGCTGCTCGGCCAGGCACTCCGGGCAGTGCTCCCTCTCCGCCTCCTCGCCTTGAGCCAGCAGGCAGGCGCAGGTGGCCTCCACCACCTCCCAGGAGATGCACGTGAAGGACTGCCTGCAGACACAGACAGGCAGAGGTCACCACCAAGCTCCCGCCGTCTTTCAATACATTTCACACTCTGCGGAACACCCTTGCGCCTAGTATTTCTAAAAATGCCACTGGCTAAATCTAAGGTTGCCTTCTGGATATTGGAAGCTACTACCTGTGACAGCATAGAGGACAGGAGAATCCTCCAGTTCTCGATGATCCCTCTCAAGTGAACCCACTGGCAAACCACCCAGAGGACACTGTCTGCAGCGTCCTGCTGAGGGCTGGGCAGGGCTGGCGCAGCGGGATGGTGGACAAGGCAGGTCCCGGGCCAGGCCACGCGGTGCTGACCTGAGCCCTGGGCACAGGGTGTGTCCTAAGGAGTGCTGGGATGGGCCAAAGTCGCTATGTAAAGACAACCAGGAATTGTGAAATTACCGTGGAGTCCCGAAGCGGTCACAGTCTCCAAAACCCTGTGGAACACAGTTCTACTCCGACGCACGTGGGGTCGCCATGAGTAAGAATTGACTCCGTGGCAACTGGATTTTAAACACAAACTGTGAAATTGCTCTTGTTGAAGATGAGCGGACAGAGCTGCCCTTGGGACAGAAGAGCTGTGACGTCACTAGACCAGAATCAACAACCACCGCCACAGCAGTCAACCCAACGTGCACATTCCGATTTTACGGGCAACACTGCCACGTACATCCTGACAAAGTCTGCAGCCACGCTCTGGCCAGTCTGTACTGATAAAGACCTCTGCAGGCTCCAGGGACGGACATTTGTCAGGACTCTAACCACGTAAGCATGAGTCTGGTTTTCCCAAATGATGTTAATTAACGACATTGGGTAATTTATCATGGTAGGACCCACTACACTGAACCCAAGGACATTTCTGGATGAATAAATCCTGTCTACCTCATAGTAAAATTATGACTCAAAGTCTGAGACCCAAGAGGATTATAACGTGGCCTCAAAATAATTAAATGGGAAAATACCCAGTTACTCTAGGATCCATAACCACTTCAGAAAGGAAGACAACGCTTGTCAAGAACGTCTCTGGGCTGTTACTTCACAGAGAAAGCGTGGCTGGAGTGTGTGGTGTGCGATATTCATTCCCCGCCTGCTGAAGGCCTATGTTACTCCCGGCGTCCCCCCAGGCAGCATCCGGGCACTGCGTCTCTGCTGGCTGTCCCTGGCGTGCCCTGTGCTCTTGTACAAAGCAGGGGAACTTGGGCGGTGAGGACAGAAAGGCCGGGACAAACAGGACAAAATGGGTTTTGGCAGGGGGCCTCTAAGGCAGCAAGGAGCAGTCGCAGCAGGAGCAGACGGCGCCACTCTCTCCCGCGCCCTCACTCCCGCCCCTGCAGCTGCCATCTTCCCATTTATCAATTGCCTTTAACTCTCCTGAAAAATGCACCTGTTTCCCTTTCGGGAGGGATGAGCTCAGGGTACCCACCGATCTTTTCTGGATTTGGGTAGTGCTGAGAATCTGGCTGGTGATGACGGATGGCCCCCGTCCGGTCCTCCAGTTTCCATGGAGCTCGGCAGGCTCATTAGCGTTTTTCGTTCTGGGCTTTCTTCGTAATTTTTGCAACCAATGCATTTGCAAATAGAAGAACACATGATTTTGGCCTGAGAACATAAAACGCTTCCATGAAGTTAGGTCCTCCTGCATGCCATCATGGGAATCGACTCGATGGCAATGGGTTTTAACGAGTGCACGTCACCAAGACTGACAAATTCTATTTCGGCCTTAAAGAGTTCTTTGTTTATATTTGTGTGTGTGTGTGTGTAACCTGCCAATTTCCATACGAAGGAGGAGGAGAAGCAGCAGATGCGGCAGGAGCATGGACATGCAAATGGCCTGTCGTGGTTGTGGGGACACAGGCGTGCTGCTGGCAGCTAGGGTGGGAGGGGGGAGGGGGCGTGTGAGGTGGGAGTGGACGTGTGGGGGCGTGTGTGGGTGTAAGTTGGGGCATGTGGGGGAGTGTGTGGCTGTCAGCGTGTACATGGGTGGTGTCCCTGCTATACCTGCACTCATACCAGCCTGAAGCCCTGTCCCTTGTCCCCTCAGAGCAATTACAGCCTGCGTCCCTCGGCCACCAGCGCTGGGGGTGGGGATGGGGTCCATCATACTCTTTCCAGCTCAGAGATGCCTCTAGAAGGGTGTCTGTCATTTATCCACACCCCGGGGGGGTTGGAGCAGGGGGGTTTCAGGATTTCTGGTCCCCTTGGACGCAGACACTAAAGGACCATGATGTCCCTTCCCTCTAAATGGCAGGGCCTTCGGAGGGGGGCTGGGTAAAGGTTTCCTGGGGCTGTGTTTCCGAGTCCTGGGCTGGGGGGCTGCTAGGTCAGCTTACTCTGACTTTTCAGCGTGCAGTGTCTCTTCGGCCTGGCACTCCACGGCAGCCTTTTAAACAAACCACAGGCAGCCCGAGGGCTCGAGCCCTGAGAGGGAAAGCCTCTGGAGGAAGCTTCCCGGCTGCTTCGCTGCCAGTGGCTGAGGGCTCCCTGTCTTCCTTCCTTCCTCCCCTTCATCACCAAGAAGAGAGCGATGGAAGAGGGAGGCGAAAGACGGAGGCTCTAAAGGAGAAAGCGAATCCCTGTGTCGTTTGTCTTTGAGAAAAAGAAAAAGCTTCTGGCCGAGAACTGGTCTGGGCCTCAGTTCATCGGCCTCTCTGGTGGCTTAGCCCAGCTGTCCTTTCTCCTTCCACTGTCTACACTTGGCTAGGGGCTGTCAGCCAGGCAGGAGTTGCCCACCCCACCCCCGCCCCCCAGGCAGCCGGAAACCTCGGGACAAGGCGCCGCGGGGTCTGGAGCTGCCTGAGCCTCCTCCAAGACCTACTGGGCCCACTGCCCAGCGAGAGCGTTGGCTCTGCCCCGGGGGGCAGCACGCCCACCTCCGGAGCCCCCCGACGTCAGGGCAGAGCCGCAGGACGCACAGCGGCGGGCACCCACCACCGGGCACTCAGCGGCGCTCAGGAGCGCAGCCCGCAGCACACCCTCGGGGACTTCACATGCGTTCCTAAAGCTCAATTTATACTTTGAAAATTAATGCAGATTCATTTGGATGTCCTTTTAGAAACTCTGGAAGGAAGAAGATAATTTATTTCTCTCTTTAAGTTACAGTCAAGTTTTCTTTTTTAACCACAAAAGTTACTTAGGCCGAAAAATTTACCTGTGTTTTGCCTTAAATAAGGCGAGGGAGTGGGTTACTAACCTCGAAGCACTCACAGTAATTCTTGAGGCAGCCCGACCTCCGGCAGTTGCAGCCTTTGGTATGGCGAGGCTTCCCGTCTCCTGGTTTCCCTGTCCCGATTTTTGGTTGGAATGCTTCTGGATTTCTATCAAGACATGCCTAAGACGGAAAACGCAAAACTCCGGAAAGGCATACTTCATTATCCAAAAATCATGCTCAGAGAAAGGTGTCACATCGGCCAGTCATAGTTTAATATCGTTGTGAATTTCAGAGGCCCCACAATCAACAGTGAGTCTCCTTCCGTAATTCAGAAGGTCTGTCTCCGTCTTGTTTATCGCGACTTCCACACTTAACGATGGTGTAGTCGTCTGCCATCGAGTCAATCCCGACTCATAGCGACCCTGCAGGTCAGAGTAGAACCGCCCCGGAGGGTTTCCAAGGAGCACCTGGTGGATTCAAACTGCTGACCTTTTGGTTAGCAGCCATAGCTCTTGACCACCACACAACCAGGGTTTGCAAACTGAGGCATAGAGAGGTTAAATATCTTGCCCAAGATGGTGAGTGATGGCACCTGGATACAAAGTCCTCACGCTGACTTCAAAGCCAGGCTCTTGACCACTGGGCAGTGTCTTTCTCACACAACACACACAGCTGGTGGGGTCTTGTAGCTCTTCTATCTACCCACCTACCTATCTACCTACCTACTTTATCTATCTACCTACCTACCTATCTACCTACCTACTTTATCTATCTACCTACCTACCTACCTACCTACTTTATCTATCTACCTACCTACCTACCTTTCTGTCTGTCTGTCTACCATCTATCTATCTGCGTAGTTTTTAATTTCAAAGTGACTCAGTGCTCCCTGTAAAAATCCCAACAATACAGAAGATAGAGTGGAGGAAGCCCCATTTCCTTCCACCCCAGAGGCTACCAGTCGGGAACTGTGCTGTCAAATACCACAGTCACTAGCACAGTCCCGTCGCTGCAGAAAGTTCTATTGGACAGTGCTGGCTGGAGGGGACTATTTGTACCATTTTACTGAAGTATGACGGGCACACAGCGAAAGGCTCACTTCTCAAGGGTGACGCGTGAAGAACGTGTGCATTTGCTCACGCCCGCGTAACCAACACCCTGGTCAGGGTAGTGTGTATTTCCAGCCCCCCAGAGACTCTCGTGACTCCTCCCCGGCAATGCACCCCCAACAGGAACCACACTCTATTACTCCAGTCGTCCTGCTCTGGGACTTCACGTAAATGGAGCCCCACAGCAGGTCCTCTGTCCTGGCTCTCTCGTTCTGCGTGCCGTCTGTGAGATTCATCCACCTTGTCCCGCAAGGCTGTGCTTCTTTCTTTTTCACTGGTGCATAATAGTCCACTAGATGAACGGACCCATTCTACCACTGATGGACATTTGGGGTGTTTCCAGTTGGGGGCTATTATGAACGAAGCTGCTATGAACATTCTACAAGTCTGTTGGTAGACATTCATACTTACTTCTGTTGGCTGTATTTTTAGGAATGGAATTGCTGACTCACAGCACATGCAAACGTTTAGCTTTAGTAGCTATTGCCAAATAATTTTCCAAAGTGGTTACACCGATTGACATCCCCACCAGCAATGCATGAGAATCCCAGCACTTTCAAAATGCAATTTTTACACTTTTCATTGCAGGTAGTCCCCCTTTACCCCTGAAGAAAGTGCGACAACACCGAGGTTTAGAGGATCATGAATTTCTTGCGTCCTATGTATCTGGCTGTTCAAAGTTGATATTTTTAACTGATTTACTGATTTGTCCATAATTCAAGATGAAAATTAAAGTATTTTAGACAAAATAAATGGACCAAGCATGGCACAAGGTGATGAGTTTGTCCTGTTGGCACAAGAGAGTCTGAAATCTACTCTTGATGGGCCTGGATCAAGCTCACAGGGGGGATCCTGGAGCAGGTTGGTGGTCCCAAACCTGACTGTCTGCCCTCTCCAATTACCTGCAGTGCTACAGACAGGTTAAGGACGGCAAGCTCCTGTGTCGAGCCTGCAGCAGCGTGGCCTTCGGGGCTGTCTGCGGTGAGGTTCTGCCCCTTCAGGAAAGCCTACAGTCTCCTCTTCACCCGGCAGCCCGGGGGCTATAAATTCCTAAAGATGCAATGGCCGAGCTTTCGCCTAGTGCTCTGCAGACAGAGGACCAGCTGACCTGCTCAGACCACGCAGAACTCAAGCTTATCAGCTGCATAATGTGACCCAGATTTCTAAAGCCCAAGCCAAGATGGATTGGACACTTACATGGTTTCAAATCAGAACTTTCCTGGATGCAGCCACACCTCTGAAGCCACCCCACATGGGTGGAGAGCAAAGCTGTCTCCCCGCCTCTCCTCTCTAACAGACCCCATCACAGGTCAGCACCCCCACATTCAGGAACAGACTCAGAGTCAGTGTATATTCTCAAAATTCTGGGTTTTCCCAGTATTAAAATTGGAAATCCTGGAGATAGCTTTAGGAACATCTCAAACACTTTTAAATGCTTTTTAAAATGTGTGCATTTAAAGGAATTTTGTTACCTTGATGGCCTTAAACCGTTCAATTTCATGACGTAAGTTGTTGCAACAATTATTGCAATTGCAGTTGTTGCAAAAGTCACCGCTGGCAAAGCAGTCACAGTACCTGTGAAGAAAAGAAGAGTGTTTCAAAGGCACAGACATACATGGGCCGAGGGTGTCATGCTGGCAAATGAGAAGAGCAGAAATGTGTGGGAAAAGTGGTGTCGACACGCCGCAGTCAGTAACGATTTCATCTAGATGATTCTGACTCCTCTCTATGTGGACGTCAGATCGCCTGGGGCGATGTTCTCCAGTGACTGACACAGAAGAAAGAGAAACTAGTGAAGCGCCTCTGCTTTCATAAGACAGGACGGTGCAAAGTACAACCACTTCCTGACGAGCCTCTGTTGATACCCATCGTCCCATCCTAAATGCCCATGTGGCTTTCCCAGGAACGCTACAAGTTGGTGGGTAGGAACATCACAGAATGAAGGGCCATCGTCCCATCAGCCATCCCCATCTGCAGACACAACGGAAGGTGAGGTCACAGAATGAAGGGCCATCGTCTCATCAGCCATCCCCATCTGCAGACACAGCGGAAGGTGAGGTCACAGGATGAAGAGCCATCGTCCCATCAGCCATCCCCATCTGCAGACACAACGGAAGGTGAGGTCACTTCTTGGTTAGACCTTGGCCATGAGTGACAGGTGATGATTATATGGGACCTGGAGGTGAACCTGGCCTGGCCTTTATCTTACGGGACTTCTGTTTCACGTCACGGAGGAAAGAGAAATGAGTGGTGAACGAAACCAATGCACGAAATGAGTGCCAATACGTTTCTATGATTACGTGCTTACATTGCTATTATTATTATATAATGCCAGGGTGGAGTATGAATTTGGATTTTAAAAAATGACAACATTAGTAGAATCCCTGTGGGAACACGTGCCCCTGGGATTTCTGAAGCCATAAAGGCATTACCTGGGGGCAGACGGCAGCCAGAGGGCCCTTCTCTGACAGCTTTTCCTCAGACATCTATCAGTGTCTGCAGCCACTAACCGCTCACGGCCTCTCACAGACACCTGCTCTTGTGCTCCACAACAGAGGCATGCGGGCCTATTGTTTAGATTTTTTCAGCATGGGCAAGGACAAGACACTTTCCTTAACTCATGTAAAAATTTAGTGTCAAGGCAAGAACTCCTAATATCCTACCCGTAACCTGCATACCAGAGAGACTTGGAGAAGCTCGTCAGCCACCCCTCGGCTTCTGATTGTGACCAGACAAGACCCACAAGTGTCTAAGCCTCATGGCAGAACCATTTTTAATCGGAACCAGCTTCTCTTCTCACAGCATGAGTCATTGACAAGACCACCTCCCCCACCCCACCCCACCCCCAGTGGAGAGTACAGACACAGCCCTCTCTGGGCCAGAGCTTGGACTGTCTCACAGGATGGAGCGAAGGGGAGGGAGACGGTAACAGGAAGGTGGGGAGGCTGGGAAGAGGAGGGGTGAGAGGAAACCAACTTGGCCTTGTGTCAGCAGGAGGAGAGGGGAGAAGCAGCTCCCAAAAACTTGGAACTTGATACTAAGTAGGCAATAGATAAGCGGTAACTTTGGTGAAGGGTGAGACAATACACAATACTGGGGAAACCAGCATAACTTGTACAAGGAAAGGTCATGGAAGCTCCATAGACACATCCAAACTCCCTGAGGGACTGAATTGCTGGGTGGAGGGCTGTGGGGACCATGGTCTCAGGGAATATCTAGCTCAATTGGCATAACACAGTTTATAAAGACAACGTTCTACATTCTACCTTGGTGAGTAGAATCTGGGGTCTTAAAAGCCTGTGAGCAGCCATCTAAGATACTCCACTGGTCTCACTCCTTTGGGAGCAAGGGAGAATGAAGAGAACAGGATACAAGGAAAAGATTAGTCCAAAGGACTAATGGACCACAGCTACCAAAGCCTCCACCAGACTGAGTTCAGTACAGCTAGATGGTGCCCAGCTACCACCACTGACTGCTCTGACTGGGATCAGAACAGAGGGTTCTGGACAGAGCTGGAGAAGGATGTAGAACAAAATTCTAACACACAAAAAAAATACCAGATTTGCTGGCCTGAAGAAGGCTGGAGAAACCCCGAGAGTATGGCCCCCAGACACCCTTTTAGCTCAGTGCTGAAGTCACTTCCGAGGTTCACCGTTCAGCTGGGGATTGGACAGCCCCATAAAACAAAACGGGACTAATGAGGCACAGCAGTCCAGGGACAAGGGCTAGAAGGCAGAAGGGGACAGGAAAGCTGGTGATAGGGAACCCGAGGTTGAGTAAGGACAGTGTTGATGTGTAGTGAGGTTGTTAACCATTGTCATAGGGCTACATGTGTAGTAACTGTTTAATGAGAAACTATTTTGTTCTGTAAACCTTCGTCTAAAGTGAGAATAGCAGCACAATTGGAAGAGCGTAGTCGATGTCACTGAACTGTGCATGTAGAAATTTTTAAAATGGTGTATCTTTGGCTATGTACATTTTCACCAAAAAAAAAAAAAAAAAATCAAGAAGGGAGAGGATTGACATGTCGTGGAGTTGTTAATCAATGTCATAAAACAATATGTGTACTACTGTTTAATGAGAAATTATTTGTTCTGTAAACCTTCTCCTGAAGTACAATTAAAAAAATAAAAATAAACAAACAAACAAAAAAAAAAACTTGGGACTTGGTGGCACCAGGTTCCTGAGGTGGGGTGAAAGTGAGTTAAAAACAGGAGAACTGGTCGATGTTATTTTTGGACACAGTTAGTTCCCCAGGTTCCTTCCCATTCCAAGAAGCTGGGTTCTACCCCTCCACCACTGTGCCAAAGGAAGGAAATTACGCTCTGGAAAACAATTGAGAGCTGAGATGTTACCATGAACAAAAGAAGGAAAAGTGAATGTTGAGATCCCCAGGTGTCTTCTCCTACTCAGCTCCAAGACTTCTAGAAGGAAATTGGAAAATCCTTCTTTGAGGACTCTGACAAGCCCAAGAAAAAATACAGAGTCTGACACTGAGATTTGCCAATAAAATGTTCTAGTCGTACACCCTATGGTGAAGCCACAGTGAGCAAGCACCCACCCAGCACCAAGGACCCCCAGTCAGCTTATGCCTTATCCTTAAATATGAGCAGAGTGATGGCCAAAAATCAGCAGACATACTGGGAGGTCTTCCAGTATCAAAGTCAAAGGTCTAAAGAAACAAACCACAACAGCAACATGGAAGAAACAGAGACTGTGCAGGGAAAAGAAAGCTGGAGGAAGAGGGTAATCAATCTGCTCCGAGAGATAAGAAAAATGACTGCAACCATGAAGCAAGAACGTGATGCTTAAAAAAAAATATTACAGAAAATAAAAATATCAGAGACAAAAAACTTGAGATGAAAACTAGAACAAAATAATAAATAAACAAGAGGAGGAAAACATAGGAGACAGGAAAGTCCAACATCTGTATAAGCGGAGTTTCAGAAAAACAGAACTTTTAAAATGAAGGGGAGAAAATAATTCAAGAAAATCTCCCAGAACTAAGGGATATAGGTTTCCAAATTAAAAGTCTGCCAAGTGCCAAGTACAATAGATGAAAGAGAACCACCCAAGACATACCATTATAATATTTCAGAACACTGGAGACAAAGAGAATTTCCTATAAGGTTTCAGAAAGAGTAAAACAGGTTTCATACAAAGGATAAAGAGAAAAAGTGATGTCAAAATTTCAATAACAAGACCAGAAGCTAGAATAAAATGCAGCAAAGACTTCAAAATTTTGGAAATGATGTCCAACATGGAGTTATACTCCTAATGCAAACTATCATCTCAGTGTGAAGATAGACTAATGTCTGTTTAGACATGTAAAGTATTAAAAAATTATCTCCCATGCACTCTTCCTCAGGAAGCTACTTCAGGTTGTGCTATACCAAAATGAGGCAGTAAATTAAATGAGGAAGATCCAGGATCCAGGGAATCAAACACAAGAAAGAAGCAAAGGAAAGTCTTAGGATAATGGTAGAGGGTGAAAACAAGCTGCGAACTATGCAGTAGGCCTGGAGATCAACCACTCCAGAGTAGAGAAGGTTGAAAGGCTTCTTCAAGACAAATGTATTTGGACATGTTGGTAAGAGATTTACACAACCAGAAGAGAGGTTAAGATTAAATCAGTGTTATGTACATAGAGTTATGTATCAACGCCCATGGAAATAGCAGTCAAGAAATCAAACGACGCATTACAGTGGACAAATCTGCTGCAAAAGACCTCTCTAAAGTATTAAAAAGAAAGTTGTTACTTTAAGGACTAAGGTGTATCTGACCCAAGGCATGATGTTTTCAATCACTTCATAGGCATTCGAAAGCTGGATAATAAATAAGGAAGATAGAAGAAGAATCGACGCTTCTGAATTATGTTGTTGGTGAAGAATATTGAATATACCATGGACTGCCAGAAGAACAAACAAATCTGTCTTGGAAGAAGTACAGCCAGAATGCTTATTAAAAGCAAGGATAGTGAGACTTCATTTCATATACTCTGGACATGTTATCAGGAGGGACCAGTCCCAGGAGAAGTACATCATACTTGGTAAAGTAGAGGGTCAGAAAAAAAGAGGAAGACCCTCAGCAAGATGGATTGACACAGTGGCTTCAACAATGGGCTAAAGCTTAACAACAATTCTGAGGATGGTGCAGCACCAGGCAGTGTTTCGTTCTGTTGTACATGGGGTCGCTGTGAGTCAGAACAGACTCGACAGCACCTAACAACAACAACACACAGAGAACTAAGTACTAAGTATTTAACTTGAGGGAAAAGGTAAATAAGTGCAGGAAAAGGAAAGGAATCATGTCTCAGCGGTGACTAGTATTTTCATAAAATGTAAATACTTAATGCTGATCTAACCAAGAATATCCGAAGTCTGGGTATGGGAAATGTGCATGTTGGGAGAGGAATTATGATGGGGAGGGGAATAAAAAGAACTAAATCCACATCTTCCATGGTACAAAGAAATAGATCATGCCAAAACTGAAAAGTCAAGAAGTAGCAATTCAGGCACATTATTTACATTTATGGAAGAAAATACTCCAATTAAAAGAGTTAAGAGTTGAAAGTT